AACTATAATTTGAGACCAATAGTACTTTATGTACTGTTTGTTACTTAAACAGCAAATAACTTTTTTTTTATATTTATTAGTGGACCTCTTTGATCATGACAAAAACATGGTAGCCAGATACACAGAGAAGATCCACAAATTTTGCAAAATCACTATACACCATGCAAAACCATGAATGTATAATACTACAGGAGATTGTCATTAAAATTTTGTAGAAAACACATCTTCTCTTACACCATTTTGCGTTGAGGAGTTACAGACTTCTTGCAATAAACACATTTAGAAACCCAAAGACTTGAAGGGGCACTGCACTTCATATGAAATAGTAATGTGCAAACATAAATGCCCTAGCTGCGTACTTAAATTTGGGCTGATATTAGTAAAATATCTAATATCTCCCTCTGGCATTGTTGTTGTTGCATTTAGTGATTTTTAATTTTTTGAAAAATGTTTAAATTGTTTAAACATTAAAAACGTTGCCATCTTTGACAACTAAGAAGGATACTCTCAGCGCTCCAGCTCAAAGGCCTTTGAAACCATTTCAGTAAAATTTTTACATGGATATACCAAAGACAGCCTGATGCTAAGCGTTGACAGAAGTTTAAATTAATCATCCTAGAAATGTGTAGGAAATATTAACATTTTATGGATTTTTCTTTTTATGAGTATCCTGATCTGGTTTTAGAAACCCTTTTTGAATATGAGTAAGATGAATGGTGTATTCCATGTTATGTTGGCTTTGAAGGTAAATAGGGACAATTTGCACAGTACTGAGTTACTGTGGAATTCTAATTCATAATGTGGAATGACTTAAGAATTTTCTAATACCTTTTATCTTTTAGTGTGTCAGAAAATCCTGATTTATCCAAACTTGGACATAGGTAGGAAAAAAGGTTTTTCAGATTCAAAGTGAAATCTTGGTTCAAAACCTGAGTGGAAGAGAGACCTTAGAATACCTGGTAGACCTCTGCTATCGCATGGGAGATCAGCACACAAGTCCTTGGACTCTTTAATTTAGACCAAACCCTTAATCCACAGACTCCAAAGGGTTGAATGCTCTAATCACTGAATTACTGTCAAATAAGTATTTTTCTGGATCTGATGTACTTAGTGTGAATACTTTGGTACTCAGTGAAGAAACATCTTTTTCTCATAAATCGCTTCATAAGCTCTTAATAACTTGTCTAAAGAACTAGTCTTGGTGGGCTAATTATAACTTCTCATAACAATCGAATTTCCTGTAAGTGAGGGAGTAGAGAAATGGCTTCCTAAGTCTTGAGGGTATAGCACTCTTCTAAAGTGTACATTACTGAAATACAAGAACCTTCTTCAGGGATTGATAACATCTTGTAATTGAATAGAAGAAGATGTTCTTGTTCTGTTTTGCTTCCTGAAACTTCAGCCACAGTGGAAGATTTTTGGCTGCTAAGTTTAAATTTCATAGTAAGTTACTGTATTTGTTTAAACAAAATAAAAATGTATAATTAAGCAGAGAACTTGAAAACAGGAGCCCTGACTTGTATCTCTAAATCTGATACAATATTCCTTTGTAAGTTTCTGTTTGAGTCTCAGTTAAGATTGGTACTACCAATCCATTGCATCTCATAAGTACCTCATTACTCAAGCTAAAGACTGGAGGGCCAAGTAGCTCGCACGCTGTGGGAGATACATGTAAATAATTAAGTCACTGGATATTGAAACCAGTGTGTTTTACTGTGAAAACTTGCTGTATTACCTACAGTCATGTAAACCACTGCGGTGTGGTTTTTTTATATATGGGATTTTCCCAATGCTTATTCTTTTTGGAATATTTATCTCCTTTATGTCCTTAGAGCTCAGGCATATTTGTAGGTATTGTAAAGACATTTTAGTCACCAGTCCCTTGTTCATAAGAATTCTGCTTGAAATACTGATTTAAAATATTTTATTGCTGTTAAATTACTTGGCCAAATCCTAATGAAGATGTAAATTATTAAAGTTCTGGGAAGTTTAACTGATGGAAATTGGTATACTTTTACCGACTTTAGAGGAGGAGCAACAGAAGAACTGACCTCCAGTAAAACCCTTGATCCTACTCTTTTTGTCTGTTTTAGTTGTAAAAGCAGAGATTTTTTTGACATATCTAACATAACTTAACAACAAGTTGATGAGCATATCTGAAAATAAATCAACCTCACTTACTGTGTTATCATTCTTGTTATGTTTTTCTTTCTTTAGACTTTATTTCTAGTGTTGTTATTGTTTGCTGGAGATTAGGTGATGTTCCAGTTGTTATAATTAATACTTCTGAGTGTGATAGGTTAAAGCTCACAGTATCGATAGAGTACATTTATACTTGTCAAATTCTTCTAAAATGAACAGTCCTAGCAGGAGTTAGTATTTTGTAACAGCATTTTGTGTTCTGGAAAAATATCAGTCAGCAGGGTTTTATTATCTTTGTTAAAATAACATATTTAGGTTAGTTTTCATGCAATTATTCTAAAGATTTCTTCTCATTTTAAATATCGATGTGAATGTAGAAGTGGAAGACAAGTTTGTCGTAAAAGTTTTCCCCTTATAAGTTTTCGCCTTATAAGTGTACGCTTTAATTCTAGAGAGAAATCAAGCACAGCGTGAAAATAAAGTGGAAACGATAACACTGAGAATGAAGCACCCGAAATAGAATATCAACTAGTTTTTGAAAAAGGACTGTTGATAAAATTAAAAAATTGTCAATTGTAAACTTCCCCCAAAACTATATGTTGAATTAATCCCTTTGATTCCTGTTTTAAAGAAACAAGTAGTTACTGTACAAGTCAATCAGTAGGGAAAACCACAACGTAATATATTTCCTATGCTACTTTATTGTGCATTAGAGGGTGAAACATAAATATAAGACCTTTCTTATTCTATATTAGTAAGCTCTGTTTAGACATGCATGGAGACCAGAGAGCTATCTTGGATATTAAATGAAGCAGG